TGTTGTTAAAATGAGGAATAAAGATACAATCACTCCTCAGAGAAGGCAGAACTTTTCTTATCTCTTAGAGATACATGGAAATTTCTCACTTGGGACTTTCCTAATGGAGCACTGAGCCATGCTGTAGGAAACATACTTGATAGCATTTCTACTGCCAATGGAGCATCAGATTTCATAAGGCTGTTTCTTGTAACATTCCTCCAAAAATGTAATAACAGCTCAATAGAGGCAATACTTCACAAGGAAGCAAAGCAGACTAATTAGCTAATTAGCATTCCAATTTGCCAACCTTTCTCTTTCCTGCCTTGCTAGTGTGACTCAGCTTCTTAAATCTTTATCATCCTTGGAGATACTGATCATGAGTTCCACAGAAACCAGAGCAGGAGTTCCACAGTTCCTGAGAACATAGCAGAATTTATATTTGGTACATTTTCAAATATATATATAAATGATTAGCCCTCAAAGAGACAGAACACCTCAAAGCACAGTTTTTTGCTTGCCTAGTATCTACAATGATTAACGTGCAATTAAGATGAGAGAGGAAGATAAATTTAGATGGAAGTGGTCTATACTAAGAAAGTGAGTCCAGCTCTGCCTCTGTAAATACATGAGCTTTGAAATGCCATGTACCTTCTGTACATCCTACGTACCTGAAGCATCTAAAATATGATATCGGAAAAGTTAAATTTATTTAAAAAATTTCAAGAACTAAAGGAAGTAAACTCTTTTTACCATTAGCCACTACTAATCCACTGTCTGCCCTCTATGGAGGAGCACAGTCACATTCTAACATGGAGCCCATGAACAGTGAGCAACCGATTGGAATAATTCATTTGAGAATTTGTCACTTCCTAGTTACAAGTGTGAACTAGAAAAGATGAATTCAATCTTGAGACTCTATGAATTATTTTCATAAGAATGCAGTAAAGTAATCTACAGCCATACCACCCTGAACGCACCCGATCTCGTCTGATCTCGGAAGAATGCAGTAAAGTAAAAAGCATAGGATATTTAAAATCTTCTTTAGTGGAATACCAACTTCAGCAAAGTCCTAGGATACAAAATCAATGTACAAAAATTGCCAGCATTCCTATACATCAACAACAGGCAAGCCAAGACCCAAATCATGAATGGACTCCCATCTCCCATTCACAATGGCCACAAGAAGAATAAAATACCTAGGAACATGGCTAAAAAGGGAAGTGCATAACCACTTTAGGAAGAACTACAAGCCACTGGTCAAAGAAATCAGAGATAAAACAAACTAACGGAAAAACATCCCATACTCATGGACAGGAAGAATCAATATTGTGAAAATGGCCATACTGCCCAAAGCAATTTATAAATTCAGTGCTCTTCCCACTAAATTATCATTAACATTCTTTGCAGAATTAGAAAAAACTACTTTAACATTTATATGAAACCAAAAAATAAATAAATAAATAAAAAGCCCAAATAGCGAAGGCAATCGTAAGCAAAAAAACAAAAAACAAAAAACAAAGCTGGAGGCAGCACTCTACCTGACTTCAAAGTATACTACAGGGTTAGGCTACAATAACCCAAACATCATGGTACTGGCACAAGAACAGACACATAAACCAATGGAACAGAACAGAGAACCCAGGAAAATAAGGTCACAAACACTATAACTATCTGATCTTCAACAAAGCTGACACCATATACAAAAATCAACTCAAGATAAATTAAAGACTTAAATTTAAAACCCAAAACTATAAAAACCCTAGAAGAAACTTCAGCAATACCATTCAGGACATAAGTACAGGCAGAGATTTCATGACAAAGATGCCAAAAGTAATTGCAACAAAGCAACAATTAATAAATGGGATCTAATTAAACTTAAAAGCTTCTGCAAAGCAAAAGAAATTCTCAAGAGAGTAAACAGACAACCTGCAGAATGGGAAAAAGTGTTTGCAATCTATCCATCTGACAAAGGTCTAACATCCAGCATCTATAAGCAACTTAAATTTACAAGAAAAAAACAATCCCATTAAAAAGTGGGCAAAGGACACTTCTCAAAAGAAGACAAACATGCAGCCAACAGGCATGTGAAAAAAAGCTCAACATCACTGATCATTATAGAAATGTAAATCAAAACCACAATAAGATACCATGTCACACCAGTCATAAGGGCCATTATTAAAAAGTCAAAAAACAGCAGATACTGGTGAGGTTACGCAGAAAAATGAATGCTTTATACACTGTTGGTGGGAGTATAAATTAGTTCAATCATTGTGGAAGACAGTGTAGCAATTCCCCAAAGATGTAGAGGCAGAAACACCATTTGACCCAGCAATCCCATTACTGGGTATATACCCAAAGAAATATACATTCTTCTTCCATAAAGACACATGTATGTGTATGTTCACTGCAGCACTATTCACAATGGCAAAGACATGGAATCAACCTAAATGTCTGTCAGTGAAAGATGGGATAAGAAAATGTGGTGCATATACACCATGGAATTTTATGCAGTCGTTAAAAAAAAAATGAAATCATGTCTTTTGCAGGGACAAAGGTGGAGCCAGAGGCCATTATCCTTAGCAAACCAACACGGGAACAGAAAACAAAATTTTGCATGTTCTCACTTATAAGTGGGAGCTAAGTGATGAAAACACATGGACACATGGAGAGGAACAACACACTGGGGCCAGCTGGGGAAGGGAGAGGACCAGGAATAATAGCTAATAGATGCTAGGCTTAATATCCAGGTGATGGGTTGATCTGTGCTGCAAACCAGCAAGGCACACGTTTACCTCCCGTACCAAATCTGCACATCCTGCACATGTGCCCCTGAACTTAAAATGGAAACTTTTTAAAGTATGGAATATGGAATTTTCATCAGACGGTTCTATTTTTGAGCACATGCAAAGTGAAAGTGTCTCAACAATCAAGAAATGAAGGGAAAAAAAATCAATAGTCAATTTTGTCCACATGTTTTAAATAGAGCTACAAAGCTTACTTATCTTTCTCTCACTGTTTCCAGGAAGTAATTTCTTCTGGTCTGCCTTTTGATAATGAGATAAGGAAAACTGTCATTGTCATTTGAAGGCTGGTTGACCAGTTAGTTGTTAACCAGTTAGTAGTGATCAGTTAGTGGTTCCAAGAAAGAAGATGTCATTTAAAAACTAATGAAATGGGTCACTTCTTTTGAAAGATGGTAATACAGCATCAAGAAAAGTACGGATCTGGAATCACTATTCCTGGGTTTACATACTAGCTTGCTGGGTGACAAAGAACAATTTACTCGCCTCTCTATCCCTTTGTCTCCTTATCTACAAAATGAGGGGTAACTATAAGCACACCACCAGGTCATTTTGAAGGCTAAACAGCGCAACTAATGTAAAGCACTTGGAACAGGCGCTGCTTTAAACCAAGTGCTCATTGCAATGATTCTATCTTCAGCAGAATGACAGGTGGTTACTAAGTTATACACTTATCCCAACAGGTCATCTCACTAGGTAACTGCTGAGAAACGCTGGAAGGGAAGCTTCAGTGCCAACACAGCCTAAGCTAGACTCAGAAATTCAATCATTTCTATCTTCAAATAATATTATTTATTCTAAATAAATTTTCTCCTCAAAATGGTTCCCCTCAAAAATTCATTTCATGGCCAAGGGGGCGAGCAAGCTCGGCCGCTGGGTGGGTCGGGGCGTTCCACGCACCCTTCATTGAAGCCGCAGTGGCCGGGCCGGGCCGGGCCGGGCGCTGGGAGTGGGAAGCTACGGCGTGGCTGGAAAATGCTGGTCCAGTCCCGACGGGTCAAGCAGGAGACCAACCATCACGATGAGATGGGGGTGGACTACGCCGAAAGTGAGGGGAGCAGCTCCGAGGACGACGACACGGAGCGCTCGTCGGTCTCCGAGGATGGAGACAGGTCAGAAATGGATGAGGAAGACTGTGAAAGAAAAAGAATGGAATGTTTGGATGAAACGTCCAATCTTGAGAAACAGCTTACTGATCTCAAAGATCAACTTTATAAAGAGCGATTAAGTCAGGTGGATGCAAAACTACAAGAAGTCATAGCTGGAAAAGCACCAGAATACTTGGAACCGCTGGCAACTCTACAGGAAAATATGCAAATTCGTACAAAGGTAGCAGGAATCTAGAGAGAGCTCTGCTCAGAATCTGTAAAGAACAAATATGAATGTGAAATTCAAGCTTCTCGCCGGCATTGTGAGAGTGAAAAGCTGTTGTTAGGTGATACAGTCCAGAGTGAACTAGAGGAGAAGATAAGGAGGCTTGAAGAGGATAGGCACAGCATTGACATTACCTCAGAGCTGTGGAATGATGAGCTCCAGTCAAGAAAAAAGAGGAAGGATCCTTTCAGTCCTGACACAAAGAAGCCAGTTGTTGTTTCAGGTCCATATGTAGTTTATAAGCTGCAAGATCTTGATATTCTTGAAGACTGGACAAGAATTAGGAAGGCAATGGCTACACTGGGGCCACACAGGGTGAAAACGGAACCACCTGTGAAACTGGAAAAACATCTGCACAGTACTAGATCTGAAGAGGGAAGACTATATTATGATGGTGAATGGTATATATGTGGACAAACAATATGCCCTGAAAAAAGATGAATGTCCTACAAGTGCTGTAATTACAACAATTAACCATGATGAAGTTTGGTTTAAGAGGCCTGATGGAAACAAATTTAAGCTTTACATTTCACAGCTACAGAAAGGAAAATGTTCAATTAAACATTTGTAATCATGATTTAAGTGTTATCTAAATTTACTTTATTAGTGTTACCAAATGTAATGTGCCATGAGTAAAAAAAAGTATTCAATAATTTAATATTCTCACTGAATCATGAGAGAATGTCTATTGTAGGTAGTACTCTAACTAGATCTCATTGATATGTTATTAAAAGAAAATAAAAATTTTATCATGATCCTTGCATTGATTTGCCTTTTAGGTCTGATGACCAATAGGTATACTGTATATGGTAGGGGTTTCTTTCTAAGCATTTTTCTTTGGTTTTTAAAAAATTATGTAACTTTGTCTTTAGTAAACTATGACTACATTTATCTGCAATTTTTAAAATTTTCCATATCTTTGTCATTCATTGTGTGTCTGTAAATAAGACTGATAAAATATTTCCTATAAACGGTTTGTACTAGTACATTAGTGTTGAATCAGAACTGAAATTTAAACATATATATACGAGTATATATATACATATATATATGAGGAGGTATATATGGCATCGTCAGCTTATTTAGAACTGATGTGGCCTTACCTTACAATCTTGTTTTACCCAAAATTAAGCTATTGGGTTTGAAAGCTAAAAGGAGCACTTTTGTAGAATAGCAACTTTTCTTTTCCTCTCCTTGATTGCATGGTGGGGTGGTGACCTATTTTTACAAATTATACTTAATGAGTAAAATTAGTGTCAAGTGATAACATGCTTTTACCTGTATTTCTAGTGACCTTTTAGAGGCAATGTTTGATAAGCATTTTAATAAGATTTGTATTTTTAAATTTAGTATATAATAAAAAGGTGTGTTAGAATGTGAAAAAAATTCATTTCAAATGCAGCAAAAATTTATTTTAACTAGCTAAAAGAACACGCCATCTTATATAAAGACATTTTTTTAAAAATAATTAAAAGAAACAATGTGATTCCATATGGAGAAAGAAGACAATGAAAATATGTTCACAATCTGAACTTTATAAATTATAGTTGGAATGTTTATCCAGCTGTGCTATGTAATTGGTTTCCTATCTGCCCAGAATTATGAGCAATACAAGGGAAATATTGCTAGACTATTCTTTTTATCTTGTAGAAAGTTTGTGGAAAGCTTGTCATGAAGCAGTTCAGCTTATAGATGGAAGATGGAGGCAGTTTGTTTGCCTTGAATTTAATGGATTGGGGGAAAGACCAGAAAGCTCCAGAACACAGGAAAGAAACTTCTATACATTCAGTGTATATTAAGCATGTGGCTACTGCATCCAGAAAAGGATGCAACAAAATTTCATAAGATCAGATAATAAAAAATATATAGGAATAAAATAGAAGCGTGCCTTCTGCTCCCATAATTGAACCCAATTCCTATTTGATGGGTAAACTTAAGCCATTTAACCCATATTAAATCTTCCCAAGCAAGAATTTCTTGGAAAGGAATTAGACTCTAACATCCGAAGACAAAAACTTCCCTCTCTTGAACTCAACAATTTCCACAAACTTCACCTACCTTCGAGATACAAGAACAGAAACCCACACTCCCCATATAGGTTAGATTGGCATGTATACCAAGTCGCTCTTGTTCCTGGGGATAATATCACATTATCCTTTTCTCAATTCTGTGACTCTGTAGCCAGGTAAAAAGTAAACAATGAAATTCCAAATCAGACCATTCACAAATACAGGTATAGCAAAAGGAGACTTGATTCTGAGCCTGACTCACTGGGATTAACTCCTACTTCTGTTACCAATTGGCTCATCCTGGGCAAACAGTAAATTCTATCTAAACTTCAATCTCCTCTATTGTAAAGTATGAATAATAATAATGATACCCTACCTCAGAGTTTTTTGAGAGGATAACGTATATAATAGATGTCAAAATTCTTTGTAAACTCTAACATGCTATAAGTTTGTTATAATGATTGTTTGACAAGGTTTCCAAAAACTGTCTAATCTCCCTCATAGAGATTGTGATTTCTTTGGAAGCATGTACTGCTTTCCCATTTCTTTTTTGGTGACCAATTTCTACTTTTTATATTTTTTAGTTTCTGTTTTTTTTTTTTTTTTTTTTTCAGATGGAGTCTCACTCTGTTGCCCAGGCTGGTGTACAGTGGTGCGATCTCAGCTTACCACAACTTCTACCTCCCTGTTCAAGCAATTCTGCCTCAGCCACCCAAGTAGCTGGGATTACAGGTACATGCCACCACACCTGGCTAATTTTTTCTAGTTTATTAGTAGAGAAGGAGTTTCACCGCTTTAGCCAGGATGGTCCCAATCTCCTGACCTTGTGGGCCGCCCACCTCGGCCTCCCAAAGTGCTGGGATTACGAGCATGAGCCATTGGGCCTGGTTGTTTCTATTTTTAATAAATTCTACTGTGCATATTTGAAGTTAATCCTATATTATGGAAAACATATAAATAGTAAAATGGTGCATTCATATTGTGGCAAATGGCAGAATCACATTTTTCAAGGTTGAATAATATTCAACTTTAAACCTCATTTTTAAAGTTGAATAATACTCAACCTTAAATTCTCATTTTTTTAAGATTGAATAATATTCCATTTCTTTATCTGTTCCTCCATCAATGAACACTTAGGTGCTTTTCATATTTTGGCTATTGTGAATAATGCTGCAATTAACATGGGAACACAAAGAAATAAAAGGAAGGTATTCAAATCAGAAAGGATGAAGTAAAATTATCTATTTCCAGATGACATGATTACATGTAGAATACCCTAAAGACTCCACAAAAAACTGTTAAAACTAATAAATTAATTTAGTAAAGTTACAGTATACAAAATCAACATAAAAAAATTAATAGCATTTCTTTTAAGTGAAAGCAAGACTCAATCAGTAGCATTTCTATACACAAATGACAACATAACTGAAAAAGGAATCAAAAAAAATCTCATTTTTTAAAAAATTAAATTCTTAGGAATAAATTTAACCAGGGAAGTGAAAGACTTGTACACAATATCAATAAAAGAAATTTAAGAAGAAACAAATAACTGGAAGATATTCTGTGTTCGGAGATTAAAAGAATATGGTACAATGTCCATACTATCCAAAGCAATATACAGATTTAATGTAATCTCTATCAAATTTAAATAACATTATTCATAGAAAGACAAAAATAATTCTAAAATTTTACATAGAATCCCAAAAAAAAACCTAGAATAGGCAAAGCAATATTGAAAAAGAAAAACTTAGAGGCATCATACTTCTTAATTTAAAATTACACCACAATGCTATAGTAATCACAACAGTATAGTAGTGATATAAAACAGAAGCATAGAGCAATGGGGAAAATGGAGAGGCAAGAAATAGGTCTAAACACATGCAGTCAACTAATTTTCAACAAGGGCACCAAGAGAACACAATGGGAAAAAGACAGTCTTTGATAAATGGAAAACTCGATTTTTACATGCAAAAGAACTGGGCCCTTATCTTATACTAGATATGAAAATCAACTTAAAATGGATAAAAGACCTAAATGTAAAATCCCAAACCATAAAACTCTTAGAAGAAAATATAGGGGGAGAAAATCTTTGACATGGGCCTTGGCAATGCATTTTTGGGTATCAAACCAAAAACTCAAGCTACAAAAGCAAAAATACATACATGGGATTATATCCAACCAAAAAGTTTAATCACAGCAAGAAAGTAGTCAACAAAATGAAAAGGCAGCCTATGAACTGGGAAAAAATATTTTTAAATCATATATTTGATAAGGGGTTGATATCCAAAATTTATAAAGATCTCTCACAACTCAATAGCATAAAAATAAATAATTCAATTAAAAAGTAGGCAAAGGACTTGACACATATTTCTCCAAACAAGATAAAAAAAGCTATCAGGGGTAAGAATATAGGACAGTCATTATGGAAAATAGTGTGAAAATCCCTCAAAAATTAAAAATGGAACTACTATACAACCCAGCAATTCCACTGCTGGGTATACATCCAAAGGAATTAAAATCAGTATGTCAAAGACATACCTGCACTCCCACATTTACTGCAGCACTATTCATAATACCTAAGAATCACCTTGAATGTCCATCAACTGATGAATAGATAAGGAAAATGTGGTATATTTACACAATGGTATACTATTCAGCTATAAAAAAGGAATGAAAGTCTGTCATTTGTGGCAAATGGATGAACTTGAAGGTTATGATGTTAAGTGAAATAAACCAGGCAAAGAAAGACAAGTGCTATATGATCTCATTTATATGTGGAATTTGGGAAAGTTGACCTCAAAGAAGCAGATTTAAATGGTGGTTACCAGAGGGTAGAGGGAGCTAAAAAGTTAGTCAATGGATACAAACTTACTGTTAGATGGGAAGAATAAATTCTAATGTTTTATTGCATAGTAGGGTGACTACAGCTAATAACAATGTATTGCAGAAAGTCCTTACTACAGCAGTCAGGCAAAAGAAAAAAAAGGCATCCAAAGTGAAAAGAAAGAAGTCTAATTATACTTGTTGGTAGATGACATGATTTTATATTTGGCAAAACCTAAAGACATATTGAAAAAGAAATCAAGAAAATAATCCCATTTACAGTAGCTACAAATAAAATACCTAGGAATTAACCAAAGAAATGAAAAATCTGTACAATAAAAACTGTAAAACATTGATGCAAGAAATTGAACAGCACATTAAAAAATAAAGATATTTCATGTTCATAAGTTGGAAGAATCAATATTGTTAAAATGTCCATACTACCCAAAGCAATCTACAGATTTAGTACAATCCTTAATACAATCCTTATCAAAATACCAACAACGGTCTTCACAGATATAGGAAAAACTATCCTAAAATTTACATGTAATGACTATAGAACCACAAAAGACCCAGAATACCCAAAGCTATTCTGAGCAAAAAGAACAAAACTGGAGGAATCACATTACCTGACTTCAAATTATACTACAGAGATATAGTTACCAAAACAGCATGGTACTAGCATGAAAACAGACACACAGACCAATGGAATAGAATAGAGAATCCAGAAGTAAATCCATACATCTATGGGGAACTCACTTTAGACAAACATGCCAAGAACATACATTGGGGAAAGTACAGTCTCTTCAACAAATACTGCTGAGAAAATTATATATCCCTATGCAGAAGAATGAAACCAGACCCTGTCTCTCACCATATACAAAAATCATCTCAAAATAGGTTAAAGACTTAAATCTAAGACCTCAAATTATAAAATTCCTAAAATAAAACTCTGGGGAAACTCTCAGGGACATTGGACTAGGCAAATACTTCTTGAGTAGTACCCCAAAAACACAGGCAACCAAAGCAAAAAAAATGCACAAATGGGATCACATCAAGTAAAAAAGCTTCTGCACAGCAAAAGAAAAAATCTATAAAATGAAGAGACAGCCCACAGAATGGGTGAAAAATATTTGCAAACTACTCATCTGACAAGGGGTTAGTAACCAGAATATATAAGGAGCTCAAAGAACTCCATAGGAAAAAAAAAAAAAAAACCTAAAAATCCGATTAAAAAATGGGCAAAAGATCTAATAGACATTTCTTAAAAGACATACAAATGGCAAAGTATATGAAAAGGTACTCAATACATTGATCAGAGAATGCAAATCAAATCTACAATGAGATATTATCTCACCCTAGTTAAAATGTCTTTTATCCAAAAGACAGGCAATAACAAATGCTGGCAAAGATGTGGAGAAAAGGGCACCCTCATATACTGTTGATGGTAATGTAAATTAGTACAACCACTATGGAGAACAGTTTGGAAGTTCCTCAAAAAACCGAAAACAGAGCTATCACATGATCCAGCAATCCCACTGCCAGGTGGATACACAAAAGAAAGGAAATTACTACATTGAATTGATATCTGCAATCCCATGTTTATTACAGCATTATTCACAAGAGTCAAGATTTGGAAGCAACCCAAGTGTCCACCAACAGACAAATGGATAAAGAAAATATGGTACATATACACAATGAAGTACTATTCAACCATTAAAAAAGAATGATAGCCTGTCATTTGCAACAACAGGAATGGAACTGGAGAACATTGTGTTAAGTGAAATGAGCCAGGTACAGAAAGACAAACTTCACACGTTCTCATTGATTTGTAGGATTTAAAAATCAAAACAATTGAACTCATGAGCACAGAGAGCAGAAAGATGGGACGGGTAGTTGTGAGGGTCTGGGAAAGTGGGGATGGTTAATGGGTAAAAATATGCAGCTAAATAAAGAAAATCTAGTATCTGACAGCACAAAAAGGTGACTACAATCAATAATTTATTGTACATTTTAAAATAAGTAAAGGAGTATAAACGGATTGCTTATAACAATAGAAAGAAAGGATAATGCTTGAGGTGATGGATACCCCATTTATCCTGATGGGGGTATTACACATTGTATGCCTGTATCAAAATATCTCACGTACCCCATAATATACACACCTACTATGTACTCAAAAATTAAACTAAATAAAAACAAAAAATATAAAGAATGAGGAAAAGCCAATGAATTGTGTATTTCAAGATAGCTAGTAAAGAGGATTTTGAAGGTTTTACCACAAAGAAATGACAAATGTTTGAGGTGATTGAGATTCAATATCCTGATTTAATCTTTGTACAATGTACACGCATACTGAAACATCACACTGTCCCTCAAAAAATGTACAATTATTATGTGTCAATTATAAAGTTTTTAAAAATTAAAAATATTTAATTAGTATATACTATTAAAAAAATGGCCCACAGGTATATTATAAGGGGCCTAACCTCACTAACCATCACCAAAATAAAAATTAAAGCCACTATGAGATACCACCTCACATCTGTTAGGAGGGCTATTATCAAAAAGACAAGTAATAACAAAGGTTAGTGAGGATGTGAAAAGAGAATCCTAGCATGCTATTAGTAGGAATGTTAATGGCCATTATGAAAAAAAGTATGGAGATTCCTAAAGACATTAAAATAGAATCACCATGTGACCCAGCAATCCCTCTTCTGGGTATATACCCAAAGGAGATGAAATCTCACCAATTTGTTTGACAAGTATCTTCATAGAATGCATAGAAAGAACACTGAACTGCAAGACTTAAGCTTTAGTTTCTTCTATGTGTCGTTTAATCCCTTTGATCTCAGTTTCCTCAGCTCAGAAATTTATTTTCTTAAATAACAAGAAGTTCAGAGGTATGGCAAATTTAGAGGTTAACGGATTCAAAGGCTAAAAGATGTCATCAGAGAGCATTCTCTCTGCTTTCTTGTCCAAAGCATCAATTTCTTCCTAAGGATGGTCACGAGACAAGAGTCATCAGCAACTTGGACCACATATGTTCACTTTGCCCTTAAGTGTGAATGTGCATCCTTGCTTAAGGAGTAAACCAATCACAGCCAGTAGAGTAAATGTCACAGTACATTGACAGGCTGAGACTTTAGGATTCTCTGTTACTGCTGCACTTGAGAATTGCCTAGAAGGTATTTTTTAGAACACCCAGTTTCCTTACCCACAAAGACTCCAATTCAGTATGTCTGGGGTAGGGCTGCAACTTTATTTTCAAAGCTCTCCGGATGATCTGAGTGCGGCCATGAATCAAAAATACTACTTTAAAGTAGAATGTACCCCAAAAGCTAGAGATGGGGTTGGATAGAAGGCAGCCAAGAAGTAGATGCTGTTGTAGGTGCAGCTGCATAGTCTTACCCCTTTAAACAGTCCAAGTGTACACCTGCATGTCAAATGTTCAACAGGAAAGAAAGTTAACATTGTTTTTTGCTGGCTAATTAACAAAGATCATAGAAAACAGAATAAATGGAAGAGCTAATTGCTGAGGGAAGCACCAATAACAAAAGCTCCTTTTACGAATCCCAGAGATTCATGTAGAAATTTCCGAGATAGATTACACATAGATGAGCTACAACCAGGATAAAGCAGGGCTATACAACCCTGGTTGTAACTCATCTAC